ATCACCTCGATCACCACACACACAGCCAGTTCCATCCAACACCTCGGGTAGACGATGGCCATGGCGCAAGGACAAGGGTCGCGGGCCACGAGGGAGGCCGTGCCTCCGGTGTCTCGTGTGGCCATCATCGGTGGTGGGATCAGCGGCCTGGCCGCGGCCAAGCAGATGGCGGCCTACGACCCCGTCGTGTTCGAGGCGACGCCGTCCGTCGGCGGAGTGTGGAAGCACTGCGTCTACCGCACCACGCGGCTGCAGACGCCCCGCCCGGACTACGAGTTCTCCGACTACTCCTGGAAGAACCGCGACGACCCTTCGTTCCCGACCCACACCGAGATCGTCGACTACCTCGAGGGCTACGCCGACGAGTTCGACCTCTGGCGCTACATCTCGTTTGGGTCCAAGGTGGTGGACATCAAGTTCCTCGGCGGCGCCCAAGCCGGGTTCACCGAGCTGTGGAGCGGCACCGGCAAGGATCCGCTCCGTGGCAAGCCCATGTGGGAGGTCGGCATCGTCACCGGCGACTCGAACACCGTTCAGGTACCATATATACTTTGACATCCTTGTTTCGAGATACTTTGCACCATGTTCTGATCAATTCAATCGATCTCACGCGCATATTTTGCCACGGGAATGTGCAGTATTACAAGTTCGAGTTCGTGGTGATGTGCACGGGGAAGTACGGCGACGTGCCGCGGATGCCGGTGTTCCCGCCGGGGAAGGGGCCGGAGGTGTTCAAGGGGACGGTGATGCACTCGCTGGACTACTGCAAGCTGAGCGAGGAGGAGACCGTTGAGCTGATGCGAGGCAAGAAGGTTGTGGTGGTTGGGTACAAGAAGAGCGCTATCGATCTAGCCAACGAATGTGCTCAGGCAAACCAAGGTGCGTGAAAGCATACTCCTCCTAGCTATGCATAGGAAAGATTTAACATGGTTTGAACAAAAATTCTCCTAAAACATGGACAAAATTCAACATGGAACTACGCATGAAACTAGCAGCTAGCCAAGGAAGATAAGCTATCGTACTCGTGTAAACGCGTGTATACCAGGAAATCATAGAAAAAGAATATGCTAAGCAAGTTCACGCAGAGCTGAACAAAACAAAAACAGGATACTAATAAATATTGTAGAAGAGTCCCATCATTCGATGAAGTGGATGTCTGAATAATGCATACTCCCTCCGTTCCACAATGTAGCGCATATAGATTTTTCTAGAAGTCAAATTTTATAAACTTTGACCAAGTTTGTAGAGAAAATCATATACATCTAGAATACCAAATACGTGTGCTTAGATACATCACAACACATACTTTCATATTATATACATTTGGTATTGTAGATATAAATAGTTTTCTCTATAAACTTGGTCAAAGTTTATAAAGTTTGACTTTGTAGAAAATCTATATGCGCTACATTATGGAACGGAGGGAGTACCATTTTTGGTGACATGTGCCTTGGCGATTTGAGAGTCGGATACTTTGTTCCAGAAAAGGGCACTCTTGTCTTGACCCATCGCACACTTCATCATGCATCTAGTATAATTCTACACTAGACAGTTTAGCTAACCAAGACTAGACAGTGGATGCCTAGGTAGGTCTCTTGCATTTACAAGTTCAAAGTACACTAGACGCAAGTAGCAGATTTGCCAGAAAAGATTATCTGCCGTTCTAAACGAACCTTCCGAACTAATTGTTCGCATGCATGACTGGTAGTTAGCTTCCTGACGAACTCACTTGACTATACATTTTAATGGTTCCTTAAAACATACTCTCTCCGTTTCAAAATAGATGACCCAACTTTGCTCTAATTTTAGTACAAAATTAATGCAAAGTTGGGTCATCTATTTTGGAATCGAAGGGAGTAATACTCCCTCCTACTTGTCTCTAATTTAGTATAAATTTATACTAAATTGGTAGTAGAAGCATATGGTATGGATCGATCGATTAACCGGTCGCGTTTGCTTGTTTGTTTGCAGGCGAGGGAGGGCAGGCGTGCACGATGCTGGTACGGACCTTGCACTGGGTGGTGCCATCGTACTCCATCTGGGGCTTGCCATTCTCCATGTTCTACTCCACACGCTTGTCTCAGCTCTTCTACGAGCGGCCCAACCAAGGGTTCTTCCGATCCCTCGTCTGCCGCCTCATGAGCCCACTGGTATGTGTGCGTCAGAATTCATCTCACAGCGTGAAACTTGTACATGATACACATGCACGTATATTGGGAAATACGTATGAACGTATTAACATATGCACGTGCGCATGCTCGAGACCATGCATGCATATCACAATCTGACAGCAACGTCTTGTTCTTTGAACTTTTGTGGTCCAGCGGTCAGGGGTGTCGAAGTTCATCGAGTCGTACCTGTCGTGGAAGCTGCCGCTGGGAAAGTACGGTCTGACGCCGGACCACCCCTTCGTAGAGGACTACGCCAGCTGCCAGATGGCCATCCTCCCGGAGGGCTTCTTCGACATGGCGGACCGCGGCCTCGTCCGCTTCAAGAGGGCCTCCACCGGGTGGTGCTTCTCGGAGAACGGCGTGGTCCTCGACGACGGCACCAAGGTGGAGGCCGACCTCGTCTTCCTCGCCACCGGCTTCGAGGGCAAGGAGAAGCTCCGCGAGGTCCTGCCAAAGCCCTTCCGCGACCTCGTCGTCGGCAAGTCTTCCATGATGCCGCTCTACCGGTACGTGTATAGGGCTGCGATTATCTTTTGCTCCAACATATATGCACCGATCAATGCTGACGTGCAATTTTTTTCCCGCAGTGGCACGATCCACCCGCTGATCCCGAACATGGCTTTCGTGGGGTTCGTGGAGAGCGTGTCGAACCTGCACACGTCGGAGCTGCGGTGCCGGTGGCTGTCGGGGCTGCTGGAGGGGCGGTTCGAGCTGCCGAGCGTGAAGGCCATGATGGGGCACGTCGCCGGCGAGGCCGACGCCATGCGCCGCACCACGCGGTTCTACCGCCGCCACTGCATCTCCACCTACAGCATCCACGACAGCGACGGCATGTGCGCCGACCTGGGCTCCGCCACGCTCCGCAAGGCCAACTGGATCGCCGAGCTCTTCGCGCCATACAACAACAAGGACTACAAGGAGCAGTAACTCATACGTACGCGTAGTACAACGTCCGCATCAATACACGCGGCGGCCGGTATAATACATTATTTTAGTAAAAAGAACATACATATATACTCCTACGTGATTCCATTGGTAGCTAATAGTAATATCAATCGCTAACAAGAATATATGTATACACGTACCTAATAAGATTCGTCATTCCTGTACTGGTAGTAGTACTACAGTGTGTAAGTCCTTGGGGATCGATGATGACTAACAGTCAAGGACTAGGTCATGCATGATAATTATATAGTATCAAGTGTCATGTGAACCGAAGAAGCGCTCGGTTAAGGACTCGCGACCTCGATCGAGGAGGTCTCGTCTCGCCCGCGACCCACAAGATCGATGGATTGATCTCAGGGAATATTCCAACTGTCGAGGAGCATGTAGACTGTAGTCTGTCCTTGTGTGATTACTTATACTACTGTAGAATCTGATTCATCATGTACGCCCCCCTGTAGTTCATTTTTTCCTTGTCGATGTAACTATTGGATCTATGAGCATGCAATGAAATTCCTCATTTTGTTTATGTTCTGCTGCAAATGACATTCTGGTTCTTTCAGCCTGCTTGTTTGAGGGTTTCCTCATCAGTTTGTGTCGGTTCGATCATTTGTGCCTTTATATTTCTAGGGGTGCGAAAGCCTATTCCGAGCTAAATGACATTCTGGTTGGCGTGTGTTTTCTTGTTGGATACGTCGTTAAGTCCTAACATGGCTACCTCACTACAAAAACATTTACAGTATACCACCATGTGTGAGTTGTAGAAGTGTAGAGAAACAAAGTGCCAATGAATCTCTGTATGATTTTTGAAATGAGGCAAGGATTTGTCATTTTCGTTGACTAAGAAGAAGAGAGTTGTTAGGTTAATTAGAGGAAACCAAACGAAAACGTAGATAACAAACCCCACATAGGGCACCCGCGGACAACCTAGCACTCACAAAATCTTGGCACAAACAAGAAGACAACCGGATCATCGACACCAACCAAGATCATCAACACAAACCGGGAGTGTCGTCGGCATAATCTATCACACTTGATGAGACAACTTTAACTTCACCTCAGAAAAGCACAAACTTAACAACCGTTGAAGCACTGCCAAACAGCCGACCAAAGTGCCGAGGACAAGGCAACTCTGATTTTATTCATGAGCTCGCACGAGGAAGTTGCAAGACTTAGTCTAGTGCAAAACAACCAGGGAGTGTCGTCCGCTAAAAATCATGCTCATGGAGTTATCGTTGCCACAGTGGCATCGCCTAACGCAATTTTGTCTTATTTGTCACAACGAGATATACAAGCATATATAGGCACACGCAAGTAGTGCAGCAGACCATCGCAAATTAAGGGGGTGTTTGTTTCCAGGGACTTTTTGGTGTAGGGACTAGAAAAAAGTCCCTCTTAAAGACTTTTTAACCAAACAGGAGGGACTACTAAGGACTAAAAGTTGATTTTTGGGACTAGATGAAGAAGACTCTCTAGGAGAGTCTTTTTTGAGACTTTTCCAACAATGCCCCTTCCTGCACCCATTGCCCCACCGCCCCATGATGTTGTTTGGTTGTTATTTTTCTGTATACTAGGGGTAACATGGTCTTTTACATGTCATTTAATAACCTCTAGAGAGGGACTAGGGACTTTTTAGTCCCTGGAAACAAACGGGGAGGGACTTTTTAGGGACTAGAGACTTTTTAGTTGGGACTAGAAAAAGTCCTAAGTCTTATGAACCAAACAGGGCCTAAAAGGACAAGCTACGACCCACCTCTGCTCGCCATCAGCGACGTCTCAACACAAGCCTTAGTGCCATCGCCTAAACTGTCAACCACTGGTCCCTCCAGCCGGGGTCAGCTCAAAAGATGAAGTCTCCAAGAAGGGAAATGATGCAAAGTGTCGTCACCGTATGATCGAAGGTAAATATGAGGTCAGCTCAGGAGGAGGAGAGGAGCACAACAAGACAACAACACTCACGTAAGGCCTGCAACAAGCAGATATGGATCACCTAGCTCCAGCCTCCCGGAATGGGCCACCGATACCACTGGATTAGATCGAGCGCACCACCACCCTCACGACACTAGGCACAAGCTGCCACCCGCGAGTAGAGCGCTAGGTCGTTCTCCACGCCTCAAGGAAGCGTGCAGCTAAGGAAGCCGACCACCAAAGAAGTAGGAGGAGAACTAGGACGATGTCAGGCAGTCGTCACTTGTGACAACATGGAAGGGGTGGTGGGAGGGTCAACAACGCTTAGGGTTATGTAATCACCCATGTCACCCCTGCATGGGTCAACGCGCCTGGGGGAGGGGGTGTCAGTATGCAGAAGACTTTGTTGCAAGTCTTGTCATTTCTTTATTAATGATCACCATGGCTTTATATACAAGCTCAAAGGGATGGTTACAGATTTAGAGAGGCAATGGTTTCAATATAACAACTATTGGTGGTTAGACATGTGATCATTCATCATCTTTGGCGGGGGGCGTTGACCTGCAAGAGAGGCGAGAGACAAAGAGGGGAGAAAGGGCCGGAATTGTCCGAGATGAGAGAGATTGGGGGGATTCTCTCTCGATACCATGTGGGCCTATGCCACCTTAGAGTGACAATGTGACCAGAACAGTCTGGCATCGGGTCAAACCGGGTTGACCAAGGAATACCACTCTTAGAGAGGAAATCTACCCGGTATTAAGAGTTTAGGGATGAAGTTTACACCACAAATAAGCGAAGGAACAAAAACCAGAATCCACGATAAGTTGAGGGAGTAAAAATACACTTCACTATTTCTGTTTTCATGCTTGTACCATGTTGACTGGATGTACCTAATTTACAGTTGTGACATTTTGATACATAGTGGTAAATCAATAAAAGATTTCATTCCAAAAATGAGAAAAAGGGTTTCCTCCCGCTTTATAGATAAAGCACCATCACCACAACAACGAGAAGAAGATACAAACGCACGCCAGCACCACACTCAACGCACACACCCAAGGCGAGATACAAAGGTGCCGAGCACCGAAAACACCACCCCAACGAAGACTAAGCACCCTAATGATAAGCCGAAGGCCACCATGAAGATGAGCAATCCACCGAGGGGCAATGAGACGGACAAGGCCGGAGCGAGGACTCCAAGACGATGCCCTCAAGAAGAAAACGACTGTCGGAAGCCGTCACCGTCTGATCCCGAAGATCAGGTTTTCACCCGGAACGACACGAAGACCATGGGAGCACCACGACGGAGCCTGCAAGAAGGAGAACGACATCCACGGACGCCGCCTCCGTCGGCCAGTACCGGGACTGGGCGAGTGATGAACCCCGGTGCTCCTACCCCTCCGTCGCAACCTCACTCCGCCAACCACCCGCATCCATGCCGCCCAAGCGACCATGGCTGCCCGCCCGCACCCGAGCCGTGCGGTCCGCCCACGACCAACACGCCTCCCACCGCCAGAGCCGCCGCCCTGCATCCAGACCGCTCCGAGAACACCAAAGGTCGAGGCTTTGAGCAATCTGCACCACAACCACTTCCGAGACCGCCAGCAAACCCACCGAACAATGCCGGAACCGACAACAAACAGAGATGGGGAAGGGGGAAGGGGGAGGGGTGGCCCGCGGCCACGACCGGCGACAACACAGTGCCGGCGACGGGCAGCTCGGCGGAGCTCCCGTCCCTCCAACTGGCTTCCCCCCCGAAACCATCGTTTCGCCCCACCCTGCCATAGGCCCGGTCCCGAGCACGGCCATGGCAGAAGCCCGTCACCAGGGAAGTCTCCCGCGCCGTGCGTCGACGACCAGCCGCAAGGGCCCGGCCTGGCCACGGCGCACACATCCACCCGCTGCCGCGCCGCCTCCCCGCCCCCGAGCCATGGAAAGGAGGGCCGACCGCGGCCCAGGTCGCCCATGACCCGCGGCGCCAGAGGCGGATCTGGACGAGCCGCAGAGACGCAGCCGCGGCCACCAACCTCGCGCCCGCTCCGCCACCGCGCCGACCGTCGCATCGCCGTCACGCGTCGTCGCCGGCCTACGCCGGCGCGCCGCCGAGCTGCCGCGCCCAGCGCCCAGCGCCGCATCCGGCCGGAGGAGTCCGGCCCGCGGCGAAACCCCCACGGGCGGAGACGAGAAGGCCCCGCCGCCGCCAGTGACAAGCGGACTTCGCCCGCTCGCGCCCTTCGGCGGCGGCGAGGGAAGGGGGAGAGGGGGAGGGGGGACCGGCGGCGGCGCAGGCTAGGGTTGCCCCCCGGACGCCCGCGGGAGCGTCGCGGGAGGGAGAGGGGGGATAAGGTTCCAGAAAAATAATAAAGGTACATGCCGTCATACATATCAAACTTTAATTTGACCGCTATTAAATTTCTTAGGTGATTTAGAACTAAAATCATTGAATTTACTGTAACTGCCTATCTACAATTGATAGGCAAGATGCTAGGTATTCAAATTATAGCTAGCTAACCTCGCAAAAAAAATAAATTATAGCTAGCTTGACGATACCGATCGATCGTTCAATGTACTAGCACGCGCTTGTGCTAACTGATTGCCCCTTCCGGATACCGAAACTGAACTTCTAAACAATCGTTCTTCTAAACTGAACTTCTAAACAAACATCAAGTGGTTCTGATGGTCAAAACCGTGCTGTATATGTGCAGCATAAGTGCCCACAGTTTTTCCCTGCAGGCCGGTTGACCCCACATGCACGAGCAACTTGCAATCTGAGAGTTTGGGTGCATTGTTTACCTGCACGAACTGCTGAATCTTAATGAATGAAAAAGAAGACTTGTACGTTCATCAAACCCGCCCACTAATTACAAACTCTAAATTAGTCTAATTACTACTACCATCTGACTTTGTATGAGGCAACAGCTGAAAGGGAGAGGTCGCTAGTGTTTGTTTATGTACAGTGATAGGGATCTTTTTTGGCATGGAATGATAGGGCAGGGGACAATATACTACGGTACCACCAAGCGGCTGGCTAGCAACTAGTTAAAAAGCATTTGACGTCAGCTCATAGATTAGTGTCG